TTTGCATATGCCACATTCATAAAGCGCCCCAAGATGATAAACGTCAAGTCCTTTGTAATTTGGTAATGAGTCTTTTTTCTTGATAATATTTAGATTTTTGTAGGTCACTTAAATTGGTTATCCTTTTCACATAGTCCAATATTTTCCTATCAACCGTAGCTTTATTCAGTTTTTAATTCTTTCACGCTGAAGGTGCTTTACTAATATAATTGTTTTGAGTTACCAGTTTTGAATCCCCCAAATTACGTCTAACTAACCAAGTTTTCGAATGTGTCCTATTTATATTCGGAAGCCTTTTGAAAGATATAGTTTATCTATGTTATCGGAATTCTATTCATAGCTCACTGATCAGTGTCATTCAAATTATGTCCATTAAGCGAGATTAACCAATGGTCCTTAGATAACTTCAGGTGGTTTATAATAGGGATCACTTGTGCAACTGCTTATCTTAATCATTAGTCTGAACTAAATATGCTTTTCGACATGTTTCCTAGGGATGCCGCTGGTATGGTGCGTGACATGCAATTGTGTTTAATCGAATTAGTAGTACAACATTCCAAATTAACAAGAGAAGCTGCAACCAGCTATATACTAAACCTACGAAAGCAAGGACGATATCGTACCGATGTATGGAAGTGATTTTGAATAAGCTTCTGAATAATATGTGTAGTGTACCACATTTTTCCATGAACCTTTATTGATAACCTCTAATTAATAAAGTCTTGTTAAAATATCTAGAACATTTATTTTCATATAACTTGGGTGAATTGTTTCAGAGCTTACATCAGCTGTCACAATCTGCAGATTCCAGCTTGGGTAAAGCAAATAAGACCTCCCACTTATGATTTTTTATTGAAATACACTTGTAACAGTAACGATTTTTCGTCAGATGTTCTTTACAAATATATATTCAAACAGAAACACAACGAGTCACTCCTGTACTGTCATTGAACTCATCTTTTAGTATACGTGTGTCATAGGTTATGATCTGTGAGGATTTCCCAATAAAAGCATAATGGAATGATAATTCTTTTTAATTTTAAAAGAGATAGTAGTGGTACTATCAGGGTATATATCGAAGAAAACCGTCGTCATGAGCAACGCGAAATGTTGAGGAGTAGTTGGAAATGACGAAAAGACGAGGTTTTATTAGTGTTAGTTCGCCCAGTCGTCACCTACTGCTAATTCAAATGGACACAAAAATACAGCGATTGTAGGCGTCATATAATGGCTGAAGGTAGAGATATCTTTACTCTTTATGCTGTTACAAATAATGAATTCCCTAAACTTATCTTTCAACTTGTTTTTGTTTACATGTCTCAGTTTATTATCATACTTTAGATCATTACTGATACTTAGTAGTTAATGTTCCTATTGCGTTATTGTTAAGTGTTAACTTATTGATGTGAAGAGAAATAGAAAAGCGATATTGAACAACGGAAGCCATTTCCTAGGACATCGCTTCACTTAGTTCAAAGTCTCTAAAGTACTAACATTTGTCCCTGTTTTATTTTATGTTGGAAGCTTTCGTGTAACGTATATGTCACTGTAATCTTTTCTACTCCAAAATTACTGGAATTCTGACGTAACGTTTGCACTCCATTTTTCTACTCTAATGCCCTAGATTGGACGAAACTGTTTTTCTTATTTTTTATGAGTTTGTTGGGGAAGATATTATCTCCAAAACTCATATTTGTAATTTTATCATATCGATTAAATGATTAAATAGCAGTCAACTGATGAACTCATTGATTAATGTTTAAAAATTTCCCATGACAATATCGATTATATATATTTGTATATATACGTTTTAAATTGTGTTTGTGGGCTCGCTCGTTTTCTGGCTGTTTTGCAGAATATATTTTCCATACCAAGCTTGGACTTCTCCTTCTAGGTAGCGGGGCTGGAACGCATCAATAGCTAGATTACTGGTCTTTGGTCACTGAGTCTTGTTCTCGTTCGTAGATTAAGTGAACTCGTGAAGCTTCAAACCTAACAGAGTTGTAGTCTTTCTAGTCATACATCTAACTAGATCAAGAGTAAATCGAGTGATTTTCCGTCCAATTCTTCTCTTTCCTGTCTTGTTAACCTAATAACTAGGTAATAGGTCAGTTATAAAAGTTTTCTTTTCTCTGTTCTTAACACCCTCCAGCCACAATTGAACTCACGCATTCTCCAGCCTCAAGACTTTAAACTAGGTTGAGACAATTCTCTCCTGTACATTAGTGGGCAAACGGATCAATGACGTAACACATATACACTTAGATTGTATGAAATTTTGTATTTCATCGACGTTACTATACAGCTAACAAAATATGCTTTATGTAATTTAATGGGTTGTATAATCTCACGTACATAAGAATGATAGCGAATTAAATAAAATTCTATTTGAAAAACAATTATTCATTTTACTTCCAACAATGGTAGTTCTGACTTCATATTGACGAACGGAATAGTTCGACCGGTGGAAAAGTAAATGATCATTTTCCTCACTGATATATCTTCAAATGTACTGGAGGTTGTATAGTGATAAAAAATGTTTGCAAATATTGCAGCATATTCAACTGCAGAAAACACAGTAAAAACTAGAATAGAAACATCAAAGATGGATGAGTTGTTACTAAAATAACGGATCAGAATTTACTTGTGAATTTTGAATGAAAATATTAAAGCTATTCGTACGATAAAGCGAGTAGACAAGTAGCACACGCCTCTGTAAATATAGTGTAGCATTCGAGACTGCGAGGCAGTTTGGTATTCTTCAGATTGTATAAGTTTTATCCAGGGAGCACATAACACATCCGGCAAATACCGGTTTGTATTTGGCTTTTAATAAACTCAAAAAAGGTAGTTTATTTTTAGGTATAGGCTGTTCCACAAACGTTTGTGTTTAATGACTTGATTTTAAAGTATATCCACTATAAATATGATTGTACTTTCACGGATACCACTCAACTACGCCATTTGGGAGAACCTATCAACTCCTGGAGCTTCTTTCCTCTCTTAGAAGTGATTACTCATATCATGAATATCCATGGATATAAATTCAAATGGACAGAGTAAACTACGTAGTTTCAAGGTTCACAGTAAATTTGTTAGCCAGTGAATTAACTTCGTAAAAAAGTTCAAGATTACTACACAGTTCTGGATTGTTTTACGGTCCTTACTAAACATCATATTAGTATTAAGAGAACCATTTTCTCACATTCAGATTGAAAATCTGTTCGCCGCGTTGCTTCTTATCAACTGGTAGTCAAAAATTGGTAACACCAGTTAGGTTGAGCAATTAACCGGATGAAATGGAAATTATGCTCATTTAAAAGCGCTTGGTATCACTGAGCTCCTAAATAAAAAATCTACATTCACACTACACAGAGAAAACTATTGAGAATTTTCCCTACGATGAATAAAATAACTAAAATATTAGATAGGTACTGTAGTTTATTAAACGTACCATATGGAGGACAAAATGTCATGTGAATCCAATAACACAGTCCATCAATCAACAAACAAATTAAGTAGAACGCCATAAGATATATCTTCTTTCGTAATATGTTACTCTGGAAAACGATGAAATCATCGGTATATTTAGATAGTAAAATATAGGTGCATGAAACATTTATGTAAAGCAAATGATTCAAGAAGACATGTGTATACACGGTTGGAAGTTAAGAAGCCGAAAACTTAGCCATAACATACACTTCTTCATAACTAAAAGTTCAGGTATATTACCTCCTACAAGCGCTTTCGACTTCGTTGTGCCTCACCTTCAACGTATTTTGTTCACACGTATACAATGTAATCCAACCACATGAAAAACGTGTTTATAAAAACCCATTATTGGCAGCATTTCAGTTTTAATCACGAAAATACTTTAGACCAAGTTGATGTGTGTTCAGAGTTTACTGAAAGCTACAGATGTTACTTTAATTTGTGAAAGCAAAACTTGAACGTTAAGTCTAAAATTATCTTCTCGATGTTTTTAAACCTTACCTGGGTGTTAGTTAAACTTACATCAGAAACTCGTTACATCCATAGAGTGACGTTGAAAGCGGCTTAGTACACATTTGTACAAAGAAGGTAATTGCCAAGGTAAATTATACTTCATAAATATGTCCTGGATAATCGACCGTCTAAAACATAGGTGTTGGTGGGAGTGTATACCTGCCCAAGCAACCACGCCTCAGCAAAATGGGAAATATCAGTTGCGAGCGAACCGTGAGATTAAAATTAATTTATACCTTTCTTTCCACAAACTAATTCTTTCCTCCCGTATCATACTCTTATATGCAGTCGCCTTCTGTATATTACTACCACTGAAGTAACTGCTTCTATGAATTTGGTGTTCTCCTTCTTGTGCTAACTGTCTAACAGTATGTTGGGAAGTTATATCGAGGTCTCGTACACTAGATGATTTCATTCATATATAGCTAGCTACTCATAGAAACTCGAAAATCACGACAGGAATATTCACACCCTGGTATTTCGAGACCTTTTTCACTATCCGGTTATTCGAGAAGTATTAAATTAATGTTACCTAGCACTTTATTATCATCACTGTAGCCTGGAAGTCAATCAGTAGGAAATATGGAACATCTCTATGGACACCACCCATAATACCAGACTCGTTGTTTTAATTACGCTCAATAAACTTCCAAACAATATATTCGCTAAATGAATAGCTTAACTACGTGAGCAAACCACTCAACTAAATGACAACACCGTCGGATGAAATTCTCAAAGTTAAATCACTGGCAAGACCGAATAGAAGAACATGATACATATTTCATTATTGGCAATCAAGTTAAGTTGTTTTTAGAAATGGGGTTAAATTATTCTTACCAGAAAAGCATTTTCAGTTGTTTTAAGCTTAAGTTGTAATACGTAAACATCTGTTATCATGTAGACCACCGAGAACAAAGCAAAGACACAGAAGTAATTGCGATGCTGAACTAAAAGGAATTATTGTAAAGTTGACGCTCACTGTAGTTAACAGATGAAGAAACAATGCTAAGCATATTGAGCGAAAATATTTCAATAAAACTTGAAAGATATAGCAAGTTGGAAATGCACATATGTTCTCCGCCTGAGAATTTACGGGAATTTATGTAACTGTTTGATAGAAGTATCAGCCGCCCAATCGAACTAATTAGAATTGATATTATCCATATTACTCTGTGAGGTCCATTACCAGCAGTAGCAGCACTTAGAGACGGTAAGTAATTGGTATCCTACAAAGCCTAAGTTCCGTTGTGATAAATCAATTTACTGTGCAATCAAGCCAGCTACATGGATTCGTAGTCATACATCTAAGAACACATATTATCAGTGAAATTACTGGAAGCAATGCGACAACGACAGAGATATGTCGAAACGTTACGTAGAAACTCATTCAAATTAGTTGCAAGGGACGTTACAAATGACATTTCAAGGTCAAAAACGGATTACTGCGCATTTACTGTTTCAATCTCAATCACGTAAAATTCGCTGATGCGGCCGACAGATGGTAAGGAATTTGATTTTGAGGGGTTCACGTTAGTAAGAGCCGACAGATTCTAGGAGCGTAAAGGAAGGGGGGTAGCTCTATTCATTAGGAATACTATCTCATTTATTATTATCTACAGTGTATCCCATGAGAGTGGGACGTGTGAATTAGTACTCTTAGCCCTTGCATTCCAAGGGACAAGAGCTATCGATTGGTTTGCTTTACCGCAGTCCAAGCAAATGAGGTCTTGCTAACCAGTCTCAGTACTTGGTCACAAAGTGGTCGATGTCTAATCCTAGGAGAATTTAATGCACCCACGGTAGACTGGACAAATCTGATAATTGAATTTTCAGAAAATTCCTTCAAGCAAGAACTATTTGGTGTGGTTGTCACATGTACCCTAATGCAACATGTGAAAAAAGCGACTAAATACGACTCGGACTCACCCTTACTAGATCTTATAATGACCGATTATAAGGATGACGTCACGAACCCCGATTACATGCCACCCCTAATTAAAAGCAATCATGCAGTCCTAACCTTCGACTTCCACACATCTGTAAAAAATGAGGATCCATCAGGTTAATCCAGACTTAACGTCTGGAAAGCAAACATACCAGATATCATGCACTCAGCGTCGTTAGTAGATTGGCAAATAGACCCAAAGTCCTCAATTGAATCAGCTTGGGACGCATTTCGAAATATATACTTAAAAGTTACCGCACCTCACATCCATTGGATTATACCAAGGGGGTTGAGAAACTCCCCACCATGGTTCGGTAGGGAGGCTCACATCCTTCTCCGTAAGAGAACAAAAATGTTGGATAGATTTAGGTTACTGAAGACTGATGAGACAAAATCTCAGTATCGAAAAGCTTGGAATACCTGTGCCTCTACCCTCCGTAAGTCTAGAACGTTGTGCAAAGAAAAAATTGATAAGGAATCCATAGAATGTCTTAAACCCTTGTATTCCTATATAAACCAAAGGACAAAATGAAGAGGAAATATTCCTGCACTATGAGGAGACAGTTCTGCCACATCATTGGTGTAGGCGACTTTGGTAAGGCTCAAATGTTCTCAAACTACTTTAGCAGTGTATATATCATGGAAGCGCACTTTTCGTCAGCGCACACAAATCCCCCCACACATACACTGGATAGCGTGACCATTAAGTAACTTGATGTCTTTGGTCTGATGAATAAGCTTGACATAGGTAAATCCACGGGGCCCGATGAATTGCATCCTAGGCTACTGAAGGAATTATCTAACTTTGCTGCGAACACTTTGAATATATGCTTTAATCTATCCGTAATGCAGGGTCGTTTACCAAAAGACTGGAAGAACGCCATAGTAAGTCCTGTCTTCAAAACATGTACGAAACATAAACCTGAGAATTACCGACTCGTTAGTCTAACTAGTGTGGCTGTTAAAATATTAGAAAAATTATTCGGAAGGAGCTGTTTAAGTACCTCGATGAAAACCGGATCCTTTCGGGGAAACATCACGGTTTCAGAATAGCTTATTCTTGTCTCACTAACTTATTAGTCGCCCGTGAAAGCTGGTGCGCTCTTAAGGACCAAAAGTTACCCGTAGACTTAGCCTACATTGATTTCAGCAAAGCTTTTGACAAAGTTCCGCACAACTGGCTGTTATATAAGCCAAGAAATGTCGGAATTGGAGGCAACCGATTGATGTGGATGAAAGACTTCCTAGTTGGGCTCCAACAAAGAGTACGGGTGAACTCAATGTTATCTAGCTGGGAAACTGTACTTAGTGGAGTGTCCAAGTATACAGTTTTGGGGCTAGTGTTATTCCTCTTGTATGTAAATGACCTTCGTCGTTTACTATTGTAGTGATATACTTTTATCAAGAGAACGCGATTGATTTTATGGAAACAATTATTACTATAACCAATTGTACCAGTTATTGTTTTACTGTTCTTGTTTGTTTAACTATACTAAAGGCATTCTTCCTTCCACTGATTGTGACCTTGCACAAGCTTACGTTTGCTCAGTAGTTCCGCTTGTGCTCCTTTGGCACGATCTTGGTATTATTTCGATACCACGAGATCGCCGACAAATATATCTCGCTACAACCTTCAATCGCCTTCTGATTTCTGGTTTACTCGAAGGTTGAGCCTGTTCTGGTACGCAATCGTCTTGTGGTAGTGATCATAGTGAACCGCGACACGACGCCACGCTACACTTTCATCATCGGTCTGGCTATATGCTGACGATGTCAAGATATGAAGAGCAATACGAAGTAAGGGTGATAGCTTAGAACTCCAAAATGATCTGGAGAAAATATCTGAATAGTTTCAAACTTGGCAGTTGCCGATAAATACTTCCAAGTGTGTTGTGGTGCATATCCGTCACCAAGGTACAGATACATACACAATCAATAACACTGAGCTACCCGTTGTCCAGACACACAATGACTTAGGAATCATCGTTAGCCAAAACTTAAGGACTGCTGCAAACTGCAGTGCAATAGCCACCAAATGTTTTAGAACCTTATTTCAATAAGTAGGGTCTTCAGTCATGTCGACACTAAAACTTTTTAAAAATTTGTACGCAGTGTTCGTGTGTCCTAAACATGAGGGCTACATACAAGCGGCTAGCCCCTGATTAAAAAAACAGTGAGCTTTTGAAACAGGTTCAGAGAACAGCAACTGAACTGATTCTCAGAATAGCGAAGTTCCCGTATGATGCTCAACTGGCCAAGCTAAACCTATTTCTGTTGTCATATCGAAAAACTAGTGGCGACTTGATCATAGTTTTCAAATTGCTTAGTGGTAAATATGCACCCGATATGCCCTCATTTTTATTGTTTTTCAAAACAGAGAACTTACGAGAACACTCCGAAAAGTTCGAAAGCCCGGAAAAAATCACTAGTCAGCTAACTATCAACTTTTTCATCGAATTATCAATGTGTGGAATTCGTTACCTCAGTACGTGATTGAAGCACCATCTGTCAGATATGGTTGGTCTTAATGATTCACACATTTCTGATAGGATTTCTTATAAATCGAGAGAAAATATGTTGGACGAATTAAATCGTGATAAAACATCCGAGGCAGTTTTGGTAGATGATAATTTTTCTAATGATCTATTATTGTTTAATGAAATGCTCAACATATTTGTGGAAATTATTTTTGATTTCCTATCAGTTGCATATTTTTCACTTGTTTGTTTTACAGGTGAATCATACGTGTTAATCATACATATCAATGCATATTTATCTGTGTATTGTAGTATGAATAGCAAAAGAAACATGTATCATATTTTTATGCAAGTCAAAAACAAATGAGGGAGTGCCTCAAATTATATGTCATGTGTGTCCGCAAATATGTGCACATAATAACCGAAACTTGTGATATAAGGAGATAATCCGAATTCGGAACGTCGAATTATCATGAAATCGTGACATAAGAAATCTACATTATTTCGCTTTGGAACATTCATGACTCGAATTCTAGATATCAGTGGTTTCGCTAAACAACTGACATGGTGATTGTATACAATTCCAGGACACAGTAAGTCTATCCTAATCTCGTTTGTTAACTCTAATACTAATGAGTGGATTACTTATATTACATAGTCTATATCCAATACATTTTACGAGCTTCAACATTACGATCTTCAAGAGAAGCAAGAAGAACTTGAAGAGAAAAAGTACAATCGATTACAGAAATTTAAACTCTCAAGTAGACCCCTGGCATCGACGTAAATTGATTAGATTGATGATCTGCGGTCGTTTTCCATCATTGAGGCATGGAGGCAACTTAGTTGCGTTGTCTATCTAGGTGTTACGAACTTTCTAATGAGCTAATTCATTGTTTTCAAAGTCGCTCGATGGTTTTTCATAATTCATTACAACATTTGTGATTAACGCTAGCTCCAGGATCAAGCTTCTATGATGTGGTGTGGGATATTTCCTCGTTCACTCTCCGTTTCCAGTTTTATCGTTTACCACAGTTCTTCGGAGCTGTCACCGTTGAAAAACAGACCCATTAAAAATAATCATTATTATTATGGCGTGTCCGATCGAGCACCTGGTTTCTTACGAATGAGGAATATAGGTGCAGTCTAAGCTATCGAGGGAATTTTCGCCGTTCCTTGAAATGCCCTCTACGTGAACTTTGAATTCCTGAAGTTTACCAAGCAATTTATGTGTTGCTTTAGTGGCCTCAACATAGTGAGACTATGTGAACTTCCCCAAAAGCCACTTTACTCGTTTTGACCTATCAGTTGCAAGCGAACTGAAGGTTACCATGAGAAGTCAGAAACTATATAACATAGGCGTTTGTAAGGGTGCTTATGAGTGTCCTAGTTCTGGCCACCGTCCACACTAGCTGACTTTGGAGGATAAGATATTTAAGGCAAAATAATACAAGTGATTTTAAGTTGACCGACTTTTGCATCAAGCTGCCAACAAAAATCTGGTTACAACTTCTTCGGTAAAAGTACACACATTGCATGTGGTTAAACCGGGAAATCTATGTCAGTGTCGAATATTTTTGTATTAGGATAATATGAACTGGTTAACTCTTTCGAGTTCTATTCTAGGTAGCAAGACGTGACTACACACATCAGGTATCGTCCAACGTAGGCAGTCTACTGACAGATCCATGTTTGAGCCTTCAGAGTTAAGGGTACGCAGTTATTGTGGTCTATATTAATTTCTACGATTTCCCGTACCATCTGGACTACAACAATTAATAATAATAATTTATTCTTAAATACCAGTCTGTTATATGAGGCGTGCCAGTTCACAGGCAAGATCAAATTGTTACAGAAGATACAGTCTTCACTGTGGTAGGTTACTCAGTTTGATATTTTATGAGGTACATCGATCAGTAAGTTGTGCGGTATAACGCTTCTTTCATATGAATGCGAATAATATCAGTAAGATCCGTATTG